CTCTCTCTCTCTCTTTCCCCATCTTGCCCACACCACTATGGTCAGCACTTGTGTGACAATTCCCCCTTTACTCCAAATACTCTTTCCTGAACGCACTCACATTTGCAGAGAGAAGAGTGGCTGTTTGGCCAAACAGGTCTATGTTCATGTTTAAGCTCTATTCAAGCCTCCCCTCATCCTTTCTTCAGTGGGTGCCAATACGTCTTCCTCCTTGTTGTATCCTCACGGTGTTGAAATCAACTTAGAGTGCACCGTCATCATCTTTAATCCCTTCTCAAGGCTGCAAATCTTCACCTTCACAGTCTTCGTTTCCAAGGAGCATCTGCTTCCGTTTGAAAATTTTGAGCTTGGCTCAACCAACCGCTGCTGCCCTCATCGTCTCTCCTCCTCCTGTCAAACTCTGGCACTGGCTTTCATGAGTAGGCCCAGGGCCTACTTTCACTGACACTTCTCAACAAGCCATTGTTTAAAAGCATCTGCTTCTCCAAGAATAAAGTGACACATTGTTCAACGGCAAACAAGTGAATCACACATTTTACTATGTATCCACTTTTGAATAGAGACGAAGACTAACACAGTCAGCAGGCTCCACACACAGCAGCGATACACAGAGATCAGCGTTATGTCAACCCCATGAGGTCAGCAAATGGAAAAAAAATGACCTTGCACAGATTCCATATTCTGTGGAGTTGGATGTTCTTATTGGCTGAAGGGTTTCAGGATCAAAGCACGATTCAGCACAGATGGAGGCCACTCAGATTCTGTCACATTTGCGCCTGCTCTCTTCAAGATTAAATTGCCTAATTCTGCCTCTGCCCCTGCAACTTTGTTTCCCCTCTTTTGGATAAATGACAAATTCCTTTTTGAAAAGCCATGATTAAAATCAAACACAGTCCCAGGCAGGACATTTCCACATCCTGAATGTAAACCATCTATTCTTGGTCATTTCATTTGTATTATAGATAGTTTCTAATCAACCTCTTCAAAGATGGTATGACATACCTCTGGAGCAGGTGGAATTTGAACCTGGGCCTCCTAGTCCAGAGGCAGGGACACTACCAATGCGCCATAAGAGCCCCATCTCATTCCTGATATATGCGTGCCCATGCCAGTTTGTGAGCTGGGCATAAATAGAGTCCTACGGCCGTACAGCACAAAAACAGACTCTTCGGTTCAATTTGTCCATGCTGACCAGATATCCTAAATTAATCTAGTCCCATTTGCCAGCATTTGGCCCATACCCCTATAAACCTTTCCTATTCATATACCCATCCAGATGCCTTTTAAATGTTGTAATTGTACCAGCTTCCACCACTTCCTCTGGCAGCTCATTCCATACATGCACCACCCTCTGTGTGAAAAAGTTGTCCCTCAGGTCACTTTTAAATCTTTCCTCTCTC